TACTAATATTCATCAGATCTGCACACCTTTCAATTTCCGCAGTAATTTTATGTAAACAAAGTTTTTCCAAGGTCTTATTTTCAACAAGGAATATTGTCAAGCGGCATGCAGTCGCCAAGAAGGAACGATACACTGAAGAGAGAAGAGTTGTTTAATACCATTCACACTGGGTTTGGAAATATTGCCACCTAAACGATTCAAATTTGCGGTTGATTGATAACTTTGATAATGGTCGGTATGGATTGGAAAATGGTATAAGATAATTCACTTTTGAGCTACCTGGTGACTCGCGCTGCATTAATCACTTCATTGCGGAAATATTGCTCATCTTATGAAATAGGAACCTGTGAGTGTTTATCTGGCTCATTGATCTCTAGAAAAGAACGATTGTAAACAGGAAGTGCAGGAAGTACCGTTAGACAACATGATATTCTCTTGTGCAAGGAAAGTTCATTTTATTACGCTATATCTAAAATAGAAAGTAATAGAGGCTTTTAATGCACTATTTCTATTAACTGAAACGTTACCCTAGCTGATTTGAATCACAATGCTACTACTTGGTGAAAGTTATTTTTTAGGGGGGAGGGGAGGAGGGGCTTATTAGAGCATTGTAGGCCAGGACATCGTGCTTACAGTAGTGTAATGATGTTAACTCAAGATTGATTCCGTGAAACATAGCACTATAGTTCTTCAATGTCAGACTAAAGAAGTCCAGGACATTGCAAATAAACATGCTCTGATGTATCAACCAGCTCTCTTGATTAACGGTTACTGATAACGTAACAATTGGACGAAAATTTTTTTCCACAGAAGCTATTCTTCAGATGAATAAAGGCTGATAGTTTCGAAAGAAACTGTTTGGGGCTGCGTCGGTGGGAGTAACGAAATAATTTGGATATATCAACAAAGTTGAAATGGTAAATTGGCCACCGCAACGATTACAAAAGCTGACGTTTCGAGCGTTAGCCCTTCGATGTCTTCGACCCTCTTCTCGCTGAGTGCATGCTTAGAAGACTTTGAAAGTTGTTGGATTTTAAAAGATCTTCCATCATAAATACTGTTACAGAGTTGCGTCTTTGGCGACAACGTCCCTCTCTCCGTCACTGTGATTCTGCCGTCGAAATCCACCAGTGAAACCTTGAGCCGACAAAAACGCTCTCCATCCTGTCTCGTTTCTATCTGTAAATTCAAATCCAAACGAGATAACAAGCAACCCATAGAAAATTCAATCAATGAATCAATATTTATCTAAAATCGGTAGCAGCATAGAGAACGTAAGTAGCCGTTAAATAATATACTTGCATTTATCCATTAAAAAAATTAAAATAATCTCTTAGGTTTTCCTTAGGTCCCAAAATTGAATGATTTGCATAAAGTTTCGCCGAATTTTATTTTCCGAAATCTCACCAATATACTGACTTCTTATCCACAAACCGGAAGTAAAACAGGTACAACTGAGACCGTGAAAACCACTTTCGAAAACTTCAAAATAATGTGCTGTATAGAATAATTGTATAATCGGACGTTTCTCTTGGGATGGCCCCGCCTGTTGAACTAATTTCGATCTGTCAAAAGTCAACTGCACAACGAGGCTTTGCCGAATACAGACGAAGGGAATTACTTAACAGAATTCTTATTCAGTTTCTCAGTCTCGCTATCATGAACAGGATGTAATACATCCCTCCATTGTTTAGAATTGAGGCAGTGTCGCAGATGAGTGAGTTTGCCTTCTGCGACCCACAATATCATCAGTCAAAAAAAATTTGGGTATGTAAATTTGCATATTCCAACCGGCTCAAGGTAAACCCCGGGAAAATAATTAAACAAGCTGAGAAAGTGAAGGAAAAAACTAACAACTACACTCAATGTATAAATTTTACTGCACTAACCATGAGGCCACCGCGCCTCCACAGGGCCATTGTCAGTAATGACGGATATCATGATAACTGTTGATTTTGCCTCATTACTGAAAATGCAAAATAATGGCATAGAAACAAAAAAAAAAGTTAAATACTCACACGACAGACAGCTCTAGCTTTAACTTTGTTAAAGTTGATATTTTTTAATTTGGTTTAATTTGAGTTGATTAAATGAAACTGACCGTATCCATCACATTACTGCTCCTTAGTACAAATTAAAGACAACAATCCATTCCGGCCTTTGATGGAAAAGCAAAGTGTCCTTTACAAAAAATTCCTCTTACAATTTAAGAGAAGGTACAGGTACATTGGAAACATTGTCCTGATATAACACTAAATTCTCATAAATAACCTACAGAGGAATGATTGGTTATCAGTTGAGAGAATTAGGTTTTAGACCTAATGAGAGACAGAATAAGAGACGTTTTCATTTTCAAGCAGAAGTATAGAACAGCATATTACAACGCGCCACGCATCGCACATAAGGTAGTTCTTAAAAGATGTTCACCTTCTTGTGTGGTTCAAGATCCAAACATGCACGATACACTTGTCTTGTCCTGTCCATGTCCTGTAACAACACGAAGCACACATCGAAACAAATACAGAAGAACTTGAACTTTCGAACTGGAATATAGGCTGCACTTAGAGGAAGCATTGATTTAAAATTTCTAAGAATTCACAAGTTGAACTCTGAAACTAAAGGTCCATGATCGCCCCCTGCTTCTATTCTGTTCGTGGACGGGAAACTTTCCTCTCACACAGCCTCTCTCCACCCACGAGTACATGTCTAAGTGGGTACCACTAAACTGCCATGCACACCTAACGAAATGCTCTGCACAGGTAGGGAGGGGGAGGGGTAATAAAAAAAAATAGGGGGTTAGGTCCGATGGACGCGCATCCCATTGTGGGATAGCGACAAAATTCACCACTCGCTTTATATGGCAAAACCGGGGTTAAGTTGAACGAGTGATGCGAGTCCGTGTCGTCGTGAGAGACTTTACCTACATCTGTAGCAGAACCAGGGTTAAGCTTAAGAAGTCATGTGAGTCAGTCTCAAATGCAGGCTTAGCCTACATCTGCACAGGCCAAAGAAGTTCTTCATACAGCGCATAGTTGATCCACAGGTTAATGTATCGTCTCCATAAATGCTTTCCCTTGGCGAGTGGAATATTGGCGATTGCTCTTTCGTAAACTTCCCTTGCTATATCAGGATCTGCCTCACTTTCTATCAGACGAAGGTGATCAAACTACGCGTCGTAATTGTTCCTGGTAAATAAAGTGAAAACAAGAGTTAAAATGTAAAAATTGAATGTGCTAGGTTGGACAAAACGTAAAATGAAGCTGCAAGTTCACTTTCACGTTTTTCCTCGACAGGTGTTCCCTTCAGCAGTTTTCGTTGGTGGTGTGAAGGAAAAATTAGACCAAATTTTTTTTCTGGTTCAAATAACTGAAATGTAGGTTTTTGAAAAAGGAGATCTCTGAACTAAAATGAGATCAAGACGAACTGTTCTTTCCTGGACCCTTCACAGATCTTCTACTTTATTTTAAATCTCCACCCGGGGCGGAAGGGAAGTGGGAGCCAAACCGCAAAATTAAACGATCACGCACGTAAGGATGTGGTTAGTCATTTGTTTTCTTTTTCTTCCGCACGTGGTCGCTCACGCATGCTCGCACGCTTCGCGTTTTTTCGACATCAAAAAATTGGCAAGACGGCTAAAGAGAGACTAACTTCCTACTTGAATAATAACTTTGACTTCCCAAAGAGAAACTTTAAAAGGACAAAATCAAAACAGATTACCGGAAAGGAACTTGAATAATTTAGGCTGAATTTCTATAAAAGATGAACAAACCGTGACTTTGTTTCTTCACACATGGAATTTGCAACAAACATTACCGGCACTGCTTCTGCTTTTCTTTTTGTCTTTTTCAATCAGCCCCCAAAAGAATATAGAAACAATTATCCATTTTTAGAAAATGTTGAGATTCTCATTTTACTACAAAGATAGGTACGGAAGGAAGGTAAGCGTTTCTCTGAGGACGATTGTCGTAAAGGAGCTTCTCAGTCACGAGATTGAAAGTCATTCCCATGACGTGACAAATTACCTTCACCTTAAAGGATTCTAAGGAAAAAGGATTCGAGAAGAAAGGAAAACATTGAAGTGGTAAAAGCAATGAATGAAGGAGGACAGCTAGGGATGAGGAAGGTTAAAGCAGAGTGAAAACGAGGATCCTAAAAAGTTGAAGGGAAATTTTTCAAATTGCCAAACCGTGACACTGATAAATAATTAAAAGTTATTTTAAGAGAATAAAAGAAAATCAGCTGAGCCAAGAATTTGATTGGCCAGTGCCAATCAGTTGACACGGACTTTGTTCTGTTCCTCGGAAACCTGAAATATCGTCTGCATTCAAGCCATTGCATTGGGTATCTCCCAAGAGTCTAGTTCTCTTCGCTTTGGAGATGGAGTCTCTTTTTATAGATCTCTAGAAGCATGTTACTTGCTCGATCTGTCTCGACACTTACACCGAACCTAAAACTATTTCATGTCTTCACACGTTTTTCTGTAAGTGTTTAGAGAGACATGTAAGATTGAGCCAGAGACAAGGAAAATATCGATGCCCCAAGTGTCTAGTCGATTTACCAGAAGGAGACCGCTTCGACAGTTTGCCGAACAGCTTTTTCCACAAAAGTCTGTTGAGTCTTCTTGCCGTTCGACAGAGTGGTGAGGAAGGTGATATTACTTGTTATCAATGTAGCGTAACTAACCCTCAGATGTACTATTGCTTCGATTGCGAACGATTCATGTGCCCTGATTGTTTCAACGCACATGAAGTACTTAAAAAGTCTTTTCAAGGACACAAAGTCACGTCAGTCAAGGACTTCAAAGCAGAAGATTACGAAGCACTGCTGAAGCGACAGCCATTTTGCACACAACAGTTCCACGAAAGAGAAAAAGCCAGATTCTTTTGCTCACAGTGTCAACTTTGCATTTGTCCGATCTGCATAGTCACGGATCATCAAAACCATTTTGCTCGACAAAGCAGCTCACGAAGATAAAAGAAAACATCACTTCTGGCGCTGAGATGGTCAAGGAAAAAGAAGCCGAACTTTGTGAGGTCATCAAGGAGTTCGAAGAAACGATTTCTGAGCTTGAAAGAAATTTCGCAACAGCCAAGCGAGAAGTCTCGCGAAAAGCTGAACAAATGATCGCAAATGTTCGACAGCGCGAGCGAGAAGCGATTTTATCCCTGGAAACAATACGCCAGTCAAGACTTGAGAGGATAAATGCGGCCAAACAGGAAGTGGAATCTCTCGTAAAATAAATAAACCAAGCAGCTGAGTTTGCGGCAAACCTGGTTCAGAGAAGCTCAAGCTCGGATATCATGCAGAACAAGGAAACTTTGAAGCACAAATTTGAAGAGCTTCGTAGAGTTTAAGCCCCAATACATAACCAGATTGCATTCGTTAAATTTTTCCCAAAGGACCTGAAACTGGGTGTTATCGAGGATATTCCGACAGTCGTGAATCAATCACCAATTGAAGGACTGGATCAAACATTTCAGGCTGGCGTAGAAGTAGAGTTCACGTTATGCCCAAAAGCAGCAGACGGAGTGACGATTAACCAGGCTGATATTAAAGATCAAGTTGAGTTGCTGGTAGAACCCGCCAACGATGTAACGAACGTAACCGTTCAAGAAAAAGAAGACGGCAATCTTAGCTTGAAGTTTACACCTAAAGTGCCTGGTGCCTACATTGTTGAGGTAAAGATTAATGGCGAAAAGCTTCCAACCTGCACATTCAGTTTAACAGTGAAAGAACGTGAACTTGTCATAGTTGGCCAGTTGGACTTGAAGTTCAACGAAAGCCAGGAGTTCAAAGGACCATGTGCAATAGCTGTCAACAAGCAAGATGACATTGTTGTCGTAAATACTAACGTACACTGTGTTTATGTCTTCAATAAAGAAGGACACTGTTTAAGACAAATTGGAAAAGAAGGAACAGATCCTGGACAATTCAAATATCCCACTGACGTGTTGTTTTTAAACGACAACGAAATTCTTATTGCAGATCGATTAAATAATAGAATACAACACATAAATATCCAGACAGGTTCTGTTTTGAAAACCTTTGGACAAAAAGGTGAGGGAAAAGGATCCTTTAGGAGTCCAATTAGTATTTGCCTTGATGATTCAGAACGTATTGTTGTCACTGAATTCGCTTACAATAGAATTCAAGTAATGTCAAAAGAGGGCGAAACTATATTCACAATAGGAGACAGTGGTCCAAGAGACTCAGCAAACCATTCAGTTGCATTCCTTACAAAAACATTTTCCCGGTAACTGAGAGAGACAACCACTGCATAAAAGCGTTTGACTCGGCAGGAACGTTCTTGTACAAGTTTCGAGAAAAAGGGAATGAAGACGGACAGTTCAAAAGACCCTTTGGCATGTGTCTGGGCGGCTCCGATAATCTTCTTGTTTGTGAGCGTGACAATAACAGAGTTCAGCAGTTTTCTTTGGACGGTCGCTTTACAGGCAAAACTATCGATCCTCTACAAGATTCAATTCAAATCGTTACAGCGTCAGATGGGCGTATACTAGTCTCTACCATGACACCTAAGAAAATATACATACTGAGGTAAATGTGTTGTTATTCAACGAATCATTCAATTGGGAAACTAAATTCAATTTTTTTTTAATTAAAAACATCGTCACAAGTGGCAAAAACGCTCCCTTTGAAAATGCATCGTCGTCATGGTCTAGCTCCAGATTATTTAGTTAAATATTATGTTAAACGTTCAGCATTCCACAATAGGAATAGAAGGGGATGTAATAGTTTTGGGGTTCCCCGATGTAGACTGTCAACGGGACAAAGGGGGTTTTTCTACCGGGGTCCAAGGGAATGGAATGGTCTAGCTGAGAATATTAAGAATGTGAAAGAAATTGATCGTTTTAAGAAGACTCTTTTTAAAAATATGTTTCATAAGAAATAATTTTAGTTTAAATTGTTGTTTTAAATAGGTTTAGTTAGTTTATTGTGACTGAAAAGGCCTGTTGAAGGGAGTTCCAATAAAGTATGTATGTATGTATGTATGTATGCATCTTATATGAATAAGTCACAAATTTTTTAAGTCAGTGATGTGTCTCATACCTGTCGCCTGTTTTTTCACAGATCGTCTACAAACTAAATTAAAGGGGAATTTGCTTCACAGTACAAGTACATGGAAATATTACTTGATTGGAAGTCGTAGAGAAGACGTGCTTAAGTAGCTTCCCCTTTAACTCCCATGATCCAATTAGTAATTCTCCCAACCGACTGCCATACATTTCTTTGTAAATGAAACAAAAGAATTTGGTGTTTTATCCAAGAAAGACCCATCAGCTGTCTGTTTTCATGACCTATTTTCAAGATAACATATTAGAATCGAAAGGAGAATTGATATGTTAATCACCTCTTGGAGTTCAGGGGTGAAGGCAATGGAATTGAGATCTAGAGTTGCCAATTCCTTTCCATCCGCTCTGGCACTCACTGAGATTTGTTTCTGATTAGTTTCTGATTTGTTTCAAAATCACTTGATATCAAATATATCTCATTTATTTGGTATAGCAGATGTTTAGTTTGAATGAACAAAAATATGTTAAATACTTTACTTTTACTTATTGTATGCAATTTTAAGCACTAATTACTGAATCAATTTTCAGCCTGTCTAAATTTTTTTAATTTCTTTTTGTTTTGTTTCTTTTGTTAAATTTTTTTGTTATTGCCTCTTTTTCATCGGAGACGTCTCATACAGATGGAGACTCAAGAAGCTAAAGTTGCTCTCGGCTACGCCTTGAGCAACTCTTACGCACCTTTCATGCTCTCCAAACTTCCTGCGTGCTTCATATCCCAATAAACGCACGCTGACGTATGAACCAATTGTTAATTGTTTATTGACAAAAACATATTTCAAAGTTGCGTTGCTTGTACATAGAATGCTTAAAACGTGTAAAATTAGTTCGTCACGAGCGTTGAACAATTACAAAGATTGAATTTGACAGAAAACAGAAAACCGTTGAGAAAAAGAAGGGGGAGAGGGAGAGCAGCATTCTTCATAATTTAAAGAGCTACAAAGCGCGACAATTTCGTTAAATAAACCTTTTCTGCGGACGTCATACGGGCCCTAAGCTTTTCCTTCGATTTCAGGCGACGAATTCTTTCCTCTTTCATCAACAATAGAACTTCGACAACGCATTTTCTAAATTAATGCTTTTAGACAAATATAAATTCACTTCAACAACGCAGTAGATAAACAGTTTAACGTGACAACGAGGGCAACTGAGCCAAGGAAAGTGACAGGACAAAAATAGTTGAGTTCACACTGACTTTGTTTTGTTTTCTAAGAATCTAAAACAAAGACCTTTTGTTTAATTTTTTTTTTTTTCTTTAAGCAGTGTCTGACCTCATGTAAAACCACTGGCAAAATTGACAAACAGGACACCAATGGAAATTTTACCACTAACAAGGACAATGCAGCCGCAAAGGACAGATCTGCTGTCTTGTTGTGAATCGATTCTGTTTTATGATTTGTATAATCGTCCGAGTAAGGGTAGACCATAAAAGACAGTTGTTTGTGAACGTGACAGACCGTTTCGACGTTACCCCGTGCAGAAGTAACCAGAAGTTAAAGAAAAGGTTGAGTGGTTCGCCAGTCAAAATTTGCATGAACCGTTTCAAGGTTTTGAAACATTTTTAAGAAAATCGACTCATAAACTATTCTTTACCTGACTTTATTATATGGCTGTGTCTCACAAGGACTGGAACTACCGAATTCACGAATTTGATTGGCTGAAATCAACATTGAAAGCGGTCTAGATTTTCCCATCTAGGTTGGTCTGTATGGGAGAATCTTGACCTCGGTCGCTGGTACAGACCTCACTGCGTTCGGTCTGTACTGGCGAAGCTTCAAGGGAAAATATGCTGGTTTTAAGAACATCAAATTTCCAAGACATAAACACTCTATTGTCTTTATTTTTCACCACTAAGGGCCTGATTACATGAGCCGAGCTGGCCTGGTTAGCCGGGCTGATTTCTTTTGTTTTCACGCTTCGGCGAACACCAAAACAAAAGAAATCAGCCCGGCTAACAGGGCCAGCCCGGCTCATGTAATCAGGCCCTAAATTTTCTTCCGCGCGCCAGTGGAAAACCATTCAAAACCCACTAAATGCATATCAGATATTTATTCATGCGTACAGCCTGTCACAAATGTCAATAATTCGCAACCGTACATAACCTGTCAGAATTGAATTAATCACTGTTTTTCTGCTTAACTTCGCGGACGGGCACTATCGATCCCGGGATTTTTTGCGAACGGGCACTATCAATCCGGGTATTTTCCGCGGTTAAATCTTCCTTACGGACACTTTGGAATCGCGGAGAAGCGGCGGCCGCCATTACGCTACTCACTATCTATCGCAGAATAGATATTGAGTAACGTAGCCAATCAGAGGACAGCATTCGTGATAGAACGCTAGTAGATTTATACTAATAATATATAGAAATCTCGAGCTCATGATCTAATCGTTAAGTAGAGACACCCGGTAATTTTCAAACGCTCGTGGCGTCCATGTTTGTTTACAACTCGCCCCTTTCTGAATAATGTTATGGGCGACTTATTATTGAAAGATATTATCATGCAAAGAGGCATTCGTTAATAGGATATTTCCGCCCCCCCCTCCTTGCCCCCCCTCGATTAAGTTTCTTCCGAAAACAAGGCTGTCAAAAACGCCCAATGTTAAGGTATTTCCCTTTACAACACACGGTGTTCTTGCTGTTCTGCGCAGTTCACGCGCCACACGATTGGATATGCCAAACTTTTTCCGCGAAAGAATTGCTCCTCTTATCTATTCAAATGATTTAGGGACGAAATTGGTTCTCATACAATGGTTACGGAGAGAAAGGCTCCTAAAAAAGGAAATGTTAATTGCCCTCGATGTGCACACCGGATGAATATTATTGTTTGCCGAAGGAAACCCGACGGATATCAGTGCTAGGTAAAAAGCCAGTAAATGGCAGATAATTCGCGAGGTATTTATTCATAGCCATAAGAAATAATGGAAAGGGTTTTTTGTGACAGCGAGTATGCTTGGATTGATAGGAAATGCAACCAATGTAGACAACTGAAATCGCTCCGGAGCGGATCGTTTTTTTGAAGGCAGCAGACTCTCCGGTTACAGCGGCATGTTTAGTTTCACTGGAAATGGTCGCAACGAGATTCCTTGAGAGCCATGCACTTCGAGGGAATTGCTTCGCACACAGTTCTCATCAAAATGGCTGGAAAATGTAGAGAGGTGGCCTGGCAGGCCCTAATCTTACACCCAGTCCCAAGACTTGGTGGACCGGGGCTCATTATTCAAATTGATGAGTCAAACTTTAACCACAAGTCAAAGGTGAGTATAAAAGCTTTGAATAATTTGCCATTGTAGAGAGCGCATTGGATAGGTTGAACGCACATCAATATATCCCAAACTGTTGTTGAGGACCAAAATAAATTGTCTTACAAAAAGAGCCGGCAGCCAGGTAGACAGCCTCTTAGCCACTAAATGCAACGGTTATTGACTGTTAGGGGAAACTGCATGTGTTTTTGTTTATCTGTAATATAAAAAGGTTCACTATTATTTAATAGCTCCCTCAAAAAAGCACTTTTCACGTGTCTGGTATCGTCAAGTGGTACATTACCAAAAGTGTTGTTGATCAAATATCGGCCTGAATTTTCATTCGCAGTTTCATAGAGGACGCCGCCCTAAAAGAGAGAAATGGCTTGTTTGATACACAGTACGTGCCAGCCCGCCCATACCTACAGCTCGTACGGCGACGTGACGCGGCCACTCTTTTGGGCATAATACAACGGCAAGTACAAGCAGGTTCAACTTTGCACACTGACCAGTAGGCAGCATTTCGCCAGATACAGAGACAACTGGGTTTGAATCACAGAACGGTCAATCATTCCCTACACTTCGTCGATCCACGCACTGGGGTACACACGCAACACGCGGAAAGCAATTGACTGGTCGACAACAAAAGAAAAGTTTAAAAAAATGAAGGGTAATACAAACTCTAACTTTTTCGCTTTAAAAATTGAGCAATTTGTTATGTGGTGGTAACTATACCAAGAAGCACAAAAAATAAAATGTTTAGAACCCCTCTGCACAAGAACCTCGATAGCCTAACATTTGAAACAGGTTCTTATTTTATATGAAACTAAAGGGTGCACACCTGGACAATTAAGATAGGTCAGCATTCTGGACTTCTTTTGAGAAACAAATGTAATAAGTTTTTCTTATTACATGCTGGTGAGT